CACGTAAATTAAGATGATCAAAAGAAGCGGAATTGAACTACTTTGGAGCGTAAGGACTGTATTCTAGTGGACTGACTCGGAGATGAGCCTCTACACAACTACGTTGGGGAATGAGCGTGTGGTAGTCGAGATGGAGAAAATTATATACATGAATAACAATAGGACATGAATGGAAGAGGGTCCATGGTTGTGTGATACGGTGGTTAATCTTCTGCGCGTGCACGGGTAGTTAGGTCATCGGCATAGTGGCAATGAGGAGAAACGGTAAGTGAGATACCAACACGTGGTTGTAATTGAGGGGTGACAACAGCGTCGAAACCACCGCCCACAGCGAGATTGCCGGATGATTGTGAATTGTCGAAGCCAGATGCAGGTGGATTGTAAGGAGTTGGAGGCTGAATAGTCAGAGGGGAGACATCGCGATGACGGTGAGGCTTCCTGATGGGATCAACACTGTTGTCAGAATCATCGTCATCGTAGTATGTGATGCGACGAGTGCCAGGGCTGTCCTTGAAGCCCTGGACTTCATCCTGGTTGTCGTCAGATCCACCAATCCATCTGACAGACTTACCTCCACCAGCGTATGTTATTTCTTGACGATAGAGGCACTTGCGGGGTTGGGAGTGAACTTTGGAGTGGCGACGTGAACCTACCCGAGGAGCAAAGCCAGGGCTAAGGTCCTTCCGGGAGACCACTTGTGCACCACGTCTCTCTGTCATCATTTCGAGGAGCTCTGCACGATCTGCACGCCGCTCAGAAGCATTCCGCTGACGATCTGCTTCCATAAGCTGGTTTCGGAGATCGTCAGCGACCCGTTGAGCTTCACGAAGCTGGCTAGTAAGGGTGAAGATCTGGCCTGTCTGGAGAGCGTTGACGGAATGTTCTTCATTGCGAGCCCGTCGTGTGTCTGGGTCTAACACATTGGTGATGGTCGCAAGGAGGTCCTGACTTGTATTCCGAGCAGTATTTTGAGTGGCAATACAATCCGCAGGAGGGCGTCGAGCAATCGGAACTCGAGGTTTTTCAACCTTGACTTTCACATTAACTTGTTTAACATCTTCCTCGTTGGAAGTAATGATGATGGCATCACTAGCGTCGACGATATCCTCGTCGTCAAGGTCGCGAGAGCCAGCCTTCTCGCTCATGAGCATCTCAATTTCATGTGCACGCTGAATGTGAGGGGGGCATTCAGCATTGCCTGTTGGCTTTGACGTTTTGACCAGCTGGTGTAAACATGTCAATACGGACCCCATAAAAATTCGATATGATGCTTGCCTGCTTGAACTTCAATTCCAACGATTTAGTGGTGTGTGCTGGACGGCCATTCTCCTCAGCCCATTGATTGTAATCGTCCGCAGCCGAGTTCCATGCTTTCCCACCAAGTGGTAGGTGCTCCTCGAGGATGTCGAACAGTCCATCAAGATCCTCAGAGACATAGTTGGCGGCACCGGTTGCACGACCTCTAGGCTTCTTCACATCTGCACATTGAGGTGTGGGAGTGGATAATTTGCGCTTTTGGCTTCCCGAACCTGAAGGGACTGGCAGGTCGATGGCCTTCTGCTTACCCTTGCCCTTTGGTTCGGAACGGCGGACACCAGCGACTTTACTGGCAGGACGGGCCATCCTTCCGAGAAGGAGATGAGGGGAAGGAAAGTCATCATTTTCGTCGTCGGGAAGAGGGATGCAAGTGGGCTCGGCTGCTGGAAATGAGCTTCCTGATGCATTCGGCTGTGCATGGCCAAAGTTGTGAGGGACGTGAGGGGCGTGTGTACGCTGACTGACAGTCAGTGGTATTATGGGTGAAACAGATTAGAGCTACCTGGTGGGTATCCATGGAATGGGCAGGAAAATCGTACTGAATGTCTGGTGCGTAACCCGAACCCTACGTTGCGAGGTGATTAGGGCTGAGGGGTTGGGAACTAAATCGAATGACATACATTAGGGCGCTGTTGCATACCACCACCAACAAATCCATCACGAAAGCTTGGTAGCTGTAATTGAATCCTTCCGATAAGATCAATTATGAGTATTCAATTTCGCCCTTACCTGGAATTGAGGGCTACCTGGGGGGTTCATGGGGCCCCATTGAGCACGTCCAACGAAGTGAGAAGACTGGTGGCTACCACTTTTATCTATAACCTAGACTTAAGCCTAGAGGGTCATTTCTATAACTTAGACTTAAGCCTAGAGGCCATATGTATAATGCTTAGGATTTTTTGAAAGGCATTTCAAATGTAGGCCTGTGTATTTCATAGTGAATTTTCCATAGATACCCAGCGCATTTTCTGTGAAATTTCAAATGCAGCCCTGGATATTTCATTGCGATTTTTCAATAGATACCCTGGGCATTTCATTGCAATTTTTCAAATGTATCCCTGGATATTTCATTGCAAAATTTCAATGGATGCCTGGCGCATTTCATTGCGATTTTTCAATAGATACCCTGGGCATTTCATTGCAATTTTTCAAATGTATCCCTGGATATTTCATTGCAAAATTTCAATGGATGCCTGGTGCATTTCATTGTGATTTTTCAATAGATACCCTGGGCATTTCATTGCAATTTTTCAAATGTATCCCTGGATATTTCATTGCAAAATTTCAATGGATGCCTGGCGCATTTCATTGCGATTCTTCAATAGATACCCTGGGTATTTCATTGCGATTTTTCAAATGTATCCCTGGATATTTCATTGCAAAATTTCAATGGATACCTGGCACATTTCATTGCGATGTTTCAATAGATACCCTGGGCATTTCATTGCGATTTTTCAAATGTATCCCTGGGTATTTCATTGCGATTTTTCAAATGTATTCCTGGGTATTTCATTGCGATTTTTCAATAGATACCCTGGGTATTTCATTGTGATTTTTCAAATGTATTCCTGGGCATTTCATTGCGATTTTTCAAATGTATTCCTGGGTATTTCATTGCGATTTTTCAAATGTATCCCTGGGTATTTCATTGCGATTTTTCAAATGTATTCCTGGGTATTTCATTGTGATTTTTCAAATGTATTCCTGGGCATTTCATTGCGATTTTTCAAATGTATCCCTGGGTATTTCATTGCGATTTTTCAAATGTATCCCTGGATATTTCATTGCAAAATTTCAATGGATACCTGGCGCATTTCATTGCGATTTTTCAATAGATACCCTGGGTATTTCATTGTGATTTTTCAAATGTATTCCTGGGCATTTCATTGTGATTTTTCAAATGTATCCCTGGGTATTTCATTGTGATTTTTCAATAGATACCCTTGGTGATTTCAAA